GGCCGTCACGCGCGGGGCATATATATTTTCGAGCCGATTCACCCGGCCGTCACGCGCGAGGATTCAATATTTTCGATGCCTACTAACCGGACCATCATGCACGTCTTCGCCGGGCTATCGCACGGGTTTTTAACGGAGCTGATTTCCAYACCACCCTGAGGTACAGCAAATGGCGCGTTTTTTTTTAAGTGGTGTCCCCTTTAGGCCTAATCCACTGACGTTCCCACGTCAACGTTTTTTTTTAAATGGTATTCCCGAAGGCCGGTCCACTACTTCAATGTCTGTCGACTACTATTTTTTTCTCTTTTTCAAAGACATCTCAACTATCCTTTAAAAAAAAAAAAAAAATAAATACTAAAATACATTTCATTTAAAATCTATTTACTCACTTCCGCGCCCGAGTTCTACGATTGCACTGCAATACAGTAAATTAAATAAATATATATTAACAATATAATATTCTTCATTAATACGCATTGGAACAGGTTCCAACTCCCTTTTTGGTGGAGGTGTTTCAGTGGGTGATGGTGTTCTAAATGACACCATTACCGCCTCTGAACTGGTATCTGATTCGCTGGCGCGCGCTAGTAGTACCTATACCAGTAGACAACGCTGTCCGCCGGTGACAGGGATCTCGAATACCAGTAAACGGTATCGGATGACTCGGAGGACGACATAACCTGAAAATGAAGTACAAATTGAATAAAACTGCCAGAAAATTAACGAGAAGATGATTTAAATGCAATTAAGCTGTCATTGTAATTCACTGTCCCTATCATATACGCTAGGTCAGGTTAGAATTTTTTCAAAGCCGACTCGCCGGGCCGTCACGCGCGAGGAGAAAATAAAAAAAATTAAGGATTTTTTGGGTTTTATTACTGTCCCTATCAMTTATCGCATCGATTTCATCCACGCGATCACGGGCGCCCTCTATAGGGCACACGCTACTTGCGAACAATTAGCATTGAATGGAAAAAAWTGCTAATCGCATAGATTTCATCCACGCGATCACGGACACCTTTGTCAGGTATCCGCTACATGCGAACGATTAGCATAGAAAGGAAAAAAAATTATTGAAATTAAACACTCACTTTATTAAACACTGCACAATAAATATTATGTTAATATTAATTAATTAACTAAATGTTTTTGTGGGATAAAGCAATTCCGCTCACAAGTGCACTATGCCACTGTGAGTTGTGACGACTGACAACGATAYGAGTGGCGCCCCGGCATCGTGGYGTCGCGGCGGGGCGACTCTAGCGCTGCAATACTAGCGCTTCGACGTATCGCTACGTATCGCAACGTATCACAACATACCGTCATTACTCATTTGCCATTTAGTTTTCTTCTGGATATCTTTTGGTGAACTTAACTTTTTCCAGTGTTTCCCAGATAACATTTCGTAACAATAATGTTATGATAACGTTTTTTCTAGGTTGAATTTAAAATATTTTAATTTTCATATTATAAAAATATTTGATGTTGATTTAAATAAAAATATTAAGTTTTAAATATTAATGAAAATTTCAAAGAAATATTCAATAAATCAGAACAATTGTTCATATCCCTGAATGATGAAGAAAAAATAAAAATACCAAGATTAGTCAGTCATTCAAAAATTAGAATTAATGTAGATACCAAAATTCCCGAAGATTATTTTCGTATTGCAATTGCAATTCCATTCTATGATGATTTTATTAGTCAACTTAATGAACGGTTTTTCATATAAAAAATTTCAATTTGTTGTGTCAAACAAAATAAATGTCTTGTCATTTCACGACCACATAAACTAAACTTATTTATTTATTAATAAATCATAATCATCAGTAGTTTGATTCGTTTTATTAAATATAAGAAATTTGTTTCATAAATATTTTTTRAACGTTTAATAAAAAATTTACTTTCAACTAAATAGTAGAAAATAAAAAATAAAAAATAAATTTTTTTTAAAACACACTTTCCTATAAAAACATATTTAAAAAAATATAAATATATAAATTAAATTGAACTAAAAAATATTTTTTAAATTTCACTAAAAATACAAAAATAATTTTTTGTACTTAAAAATAATGAAAAATTTAAAAGTGTGTGGTGCATCATACAAAACGTTTAAAGCCGAGCTAARTCTCACATACACTTCTTTGTTCAAATCTGTTTATAAGATAATGACTGGGAGTATATGTCAAGTGTAAGAGCACTACACACTTTTAAATTTTTCATTATTTTTAAGTACAGAAAATTATTTTTGTATTTTTAGTGCAATTTTTAAAATATTTTTTAGTTCAATTTAATATATATTTATATTTTTTTTAAATGTTTTTATGGGAAAGTGTGTTTTAAAAAAAATGTATTTTTCTATATATACCAGTTTAAAAAATTTAATTTCGTTAAAAATTACATGATTTATAAGCCATGGAAGTTTAACCGTACGGTACTACCCCGCCTTCCTCTATGTTATACATTTTGTAATTTATCATAATGTCAATCGTTTCCTTTTTATTTTTTACGTATAAATAAACTTATTCTGAGTGTTTATAGTCGTCAAAAAATGTGATACAGTTTTCTTTGATTTGTGAATATTTTGGTTTTTGGCAATACTACCTTTTGCATTTTCACCCTTCAATTATAATAATATGTTTAAAATTTCACGATAAAAATAATTACACAATATTTATTAACAGATACTCTCAAGATATAGGAATATAGAGAATGTCATAAAGTATGTAAAGGCGGAGGGGCTTGCAGAATGTATTGTGGTATCAGAGCCTAAAACAGTCAACAAAATACACCATCGAAAAAAATAGACGAAAATATTGGGGGGGGGAAATTGCTGTTATTAAAAAATCCACAATAGACATATTATATTTGTGACCGATGAGCCTCTTACCAAAGGTTGTCGCCTCACACACGGTCTTCTGGAGCCTTATAGAAAGTAGGTAACTCTTGTTTTTAGTTTATGAATAAAATCACAATATTTTATTATTTTTTATACATTGACTAAAATAACAATATGCATGCGTCTACGAGCACATGCTACATAGACAAGATGATGAGAGACTGGGAACAACGCTCTGAGG